GCCCCTGTATTGTTAGTTTTCTGGCATAGCTTTCTCTTAAAATTTGTCTCGCGCTATATTACATAGAAAAATACAACAATTTCACTTATAATTCCACTAAAATTACTTATCTAAGTAAAAAATTCGTAATAATATTCAGATTCGTGAGCAAAACACATAATGTGTGTGCCAACAGAAATTATTTAATGAAATTTTTAATTTAATCCGAAATACCGGACGAGTGGATGTTAAAATATAAACCTGTTAAAATATAATTTTAAATCTCGTTTAAGAAATTAAAAAAATTCGACACAGATTTCTTAAAAATGTTAAAGAGGAGTAAACCAGGTTTTTCCCTCAACCACTTGGCAACGCTTTATCTCCAGAAAACTTTTAAAACGAGCGATTTATCTTTAAAATTCACAAAGCATTCTCCTAATAATGTCCTTAGTGCTGTCACTCCCCACCCCTGCCTTCGTTGCCATAACAAAACACTGATGAGAAATTAATATCCAAAACTGCTAGGGGTCAGAAAAGGTATTTAGCATTTTTTAAAATTTATTTTTGTGCTCGGCCGCTGTACATTTAAGAGCTAGAATTGTGGGAAAGGGGAAGAGTTTCTAAAACATTTAGTTAGTCATTACCTTTACAAGTCGGCTGGGAAGTAAGCAAAGACACTTAATGAAGACATCACGACACTTTTGAAATCTTTGCTGGCTATTGTTCCCTTAAGTGTCATTAACTCTTGATGGGCAAAAGAGAGGACTTCCTTTCATTTGTAAACTTATCCTCCTATAGCTACCGTGTTGTCATTGAGTGGGAGGGTAAATATGCATTTAGTGCTCCCCTTCCCGGCCTTTTTCTTTTTGAATTTCCATAGCATACAACAAGTAATCAGCAGTGCAGTTCTAGGTATTCTATAGTTTTAATTTTAGTGTATATCTAAGTATACGTCTGTGCGTGTTTGGACGTTTGAGGAAAATTATGCATTTTTACACTATGTGCATTACATTTAAATATATCCCTCTCCTGCATTTTTAGACTGTATACAATATAAATATATTTAGACATATAAGAACATTTAATATAGAAACTATTATCTCCAGAAATCCATATTTGTATGTATTTATGTACTGTAAATTTAAATTTACATATAATCCTGTATGCATCGTGTATCCATATTTATATGTAGATGTATTGTAAATTCATTTTTATATCTAATCAGGTATGAATTACATATAAATATATTTTTATATGTCTCCCATATTCACTATATTAAATAAGGCTCAAAGAAATTTAGTTTTATATGGAGATTAAAAATTTATTATTTGATGCCGAGCAAGAAATTGCGGACCTTGTGAATTTTTTTTTTTGGGGGGGGGGTCTTAACTAACTGAATAGTACAATAATTGGCTTCTACACATAAAAAAATAGTCTCTATATTCCGCATGAAAAGATGTATCAGTTATATACAAGACAATATCTTCAAGGTATCAGAATCAAGAAAATGTGGATAGCATTATAATAAATTTTAAGCAAGGCTCTAAAACTCAGTTAAAATGAGAAAGGAAATTTATGAAGCCTATTATGTTATCTTACATAAGAAAAGGCGAAGAGAAAGTAATGTATGTGGAATGGATGCTCTCAGCTGATCAATGTTTACGTTTACAGAATGTTAAATGTTCTCATACTTTTATTACCTAAAAATTATTATTGCATCATAAATTCTGTCCATAAGACATATGTATGTCTTAGAACGATATATGTGCATATACAGTTCTAAGACACATATGAAAGGGACACATAGATATGTCTTGGAAATGCTGACTTACTTATTAAATTCTACAGAAATTTAAAATACATCGTAACATAAGAACGCATGAGAAAGGTTTTGGGATGGAATTCACACAAATGTCTCTTGGGATTTTTAATTATCTGTATATCTTCGGCTTCATTGCATTTTCCTCATCAGATCCTTGTTCCTTTAAACAATGTTTTGGGAAGTGTAGTTTATTTAATTTAACATCAGCTTTAACATAAAAGGTTAAATACTTTCCTGTACTATTACATGATTTCTCTTCAATGTTTTGATGTCCTTTCACCTTAATTTTCTTCTGATAGAAGAATATACATAATATTTTGGAAATTATCTTATCCAGTTTATGCTTAAAGGAAACAAATAAGTTAGGAGGAAAATTCAAAACAAAGTTAAATTCAAATCTGAAAAATTTACTCAATGAATGCTTTTGATTTCAACTTCGTGTTTTGTCAGAGAATAAAATTAAATTTAAAAGTATATTTCGATATATTTTAAAAGTTGTGCGAAAAAGGAAAATAGACTAATAATGGCACATATCCCATTATTAAGAGCTTTGAAAATAATTTTTAATCAAAATTTTATTGAAATATTTATGAAAAAAGAAATTATTATTAACCTCATTTTATCAGAATACGGCAAGAATTTGATATATATATTGTGCAGATTTTATATAAAGCATCGTTTGTAAAAATTCCAAAATTGCTTTTTACGATATATTAATGATTCCACAGTTGTACTTCAGCAGATTTACCATTATGAAGGATTACCACATCATACTGATTAATAGTTGTTTCAACTTTAGAAGGGTCTTGCAAAACTTGGCAAGTCTTGACAGTTGGATCTTGAGATAAGGCATTCCAAACCTCAAAACTCTGTAGTAAACGCGCTGCATTCTAATTTGGGATCGCTTCTTCACTTTATTATCAAGACTGTCAAAGGTGATAAGTCCTGATTCAAGGTGACCTTTTTCTGACTTTCATTTCACACTCCCCGCTTCCCCTTCCTACCCAAAAAAATCTACCACCTTGAATAGAAAAGTATGATTCAAATGCTGAGTTTTTTTAGTATGTGAATCAAAATGACTCATGTAAGAAGTCATAGACTCAGTTTTTCTGTTGCTAAATTTTTCTCTTCAAACATGAAGCTATTTTTGATAAAAAAATAGTGAAATATACTGAAAAATGTCGTTTAAAAGCTATAATATCGTTGTATTCTTAATCTTCCGAATAATAAACTGTACTTATTAACTATAAATTTTGATTTCATTTTCAATATGATTAAAATTATACTAAGTTATTAAACTGTAGAATAATTGGCATATGATGCCTATTTCAAATTGTAACTTCATGTTTCTGAAATGGCTGATATTAACGCTTTAGTATGATTTAGCGCAGATAATAATCTTGTATACGGAACATTCATCTTACCTTTCTAACTTAACTTCATTTGAATTATAAGTAAAAGCAAGCTTAAAATTGTAACGAATATTTTTTAAACACTGTGAGAGTATTTCAGTTAAATTGTTAATTATTTGGAAGCTGCATATATAGGAACCTCCATATAATGTTTATATTCTAGAACCTGATATATAGTTTATATTTCTAGAATCGCAACTCATATGGAAATTTACATCAATTCTTACACTCCTTTTTAATTCCTTAATCCTTAGAGAAAGTATAGTAGTAATATGAAATTTTACTCTTATGCTGACAAAATTTTGCATTCCATTAACAAGAGAGAAGAATGATTATATTATGAAAATTTATGCGAATTCTAAAACTATTTTTAATTTCTTTATCCGCAGAAAAAACATAATAATTAAATTCTGATTCGAAATATTTTACATCATTTTGACGTACTAGTGCATATATCTGTCTTATTAAATTAAATATAAATTGAATATATAAACAATGCAACTTTCCACTCATAAATTTGCACTATAATTTAAGATTTTAATTATTTTATTGAAAATTATAAGAAAATATTTTCCGTACACAGAATAAGATTAGACACCCATCTTCTTGAATTTGTATTTTTTTCATAACAGAACTTTTTTTAAGGCCCACCAGCGGCCGAGCGGTAAAGTCGCTGAACACTGGTAGTTCGGTCCGAGGTTCGAATCCCGCGAACGGGCTGGCTGCATGGGCGTTTTCGTGGTTTTCCCCATGTGTAACATGTATACGAGCCAGTTTCCCTTAGAAAGTCCTCCACGAAGGCATCCCTCCCCTTAGGCAGATAGCCCTCGAGGCTTTCCCATAATCACACACACACATAACAGAACTTTTATTCGTTATGAAAATTAGCTCAAAATGTAAGCTTGATTCAAGGATGAATGGATTCAGGATGAACTTCGCATTAATTTTGGTGATGATTATAACCTAATGATGAGTCATTAGGCAAGAATGGGAAATAGTTCAGTTCCTTCGCCTGGATTCGAACTCCGGTCATCCCGAACAAGCATCGAACGCGCTTCCAGTTACAGTACGAAGGCATGCGGAAAGAAAGGAGGAAATACCTTATATACCCCCTTTTAAAGGGCGATTGGAGATGAAAGAACCCAATCGCCAAATCCTGGTGGTGACGAATTATCGTCTACGACCTTTTAGTTCGGGAGCCACTTGCAGAATCATTAGGTTATATCAATGCTGGAACGTGAAAAATGTGCTATGGCCTCGCCGAAATTTGAACATTGGTCCTCCCGAGCGCGTTCCCAGTTACACTACGAAGGTATACAGAAATGTGGGAAAAAATACTTTATAATTTCTTTAAAAATTTAATAGAAAATATGACTGTTTAGAAAATATGACTTCATGGGCTTGAGTTTCATAACCATATTTAAATCTTTCATATTTAAACTTTAAACTAAATAAAGGCATATAAAACTAAAGAACAAACTTTCATATTTATATCATCATTCATAACCATATTTAAAACTGTCCTGTACTTAGTGGCTTTCATTCTTCTTATCTGGAAATTTTGTATGGATTTTTATTATAGATAGAGTTTTCGGGTAACATATTAATATCATATTCAATGAATTTGGAAATAATTAGTTTACATTTCTTTGCTCAGTTTTGAAGTTTTATTTTGGTGAAATGGGAATGTTTTTCTTGCTGTTTTATTTTTATATCAGCTGTATGATTCCTGTTTTACGATTTGTTTTATTTGACTAATATAAAGTCTATTTTTCCTGTATTTACAGAAAACAAAAGACCTGAGAGTGTTGAAAGCAGATATCTTACATAAAATAATAACAAAATATAAATATAAAGATGGCTTGCTGCTCTTTGAGGTATTTATATTTTATTTCTTTTAGTTAAAATTCCTGTTTGAAGACATAATGGTGAATAATATCAATTATAAAATCATTGTACAATACTCTTTAATCAATTAAGTGATTAATCAATTAAATGATTATAATACACACACAAAAGTTACGGATTACACTCAAAGTATTTTCTCACAATCAGTTAATCCTTCAACCAACTAATTAAAAAGGATACTAATAAAATAGGTAAAATTTACAGATTTGTTGTAACATATTATCATAAGAATTGGAACTAAACCAATAGTTAAGAAATATTGAAATATAGAGTCAGTAGTTTTTTTTTTTTTTTTTTGTGATACTGGAGACGTGAAAAATGAGCTATGCCCTCGCCTCGACTCTAGCCTGGATCTCTCGAATACGCGTCGAGTCTGGTGGAAGGAAAGTTTAAAAAATGATAAAAATTTAACCTTCGCTTAGTATAGAGTTTGAGTAACACTCATATAAAACTTCAGCAAGAAACTGTTAAAAAAAATTGGTTGGTTTTCAGGAGAACTGAATGAGAGCAAATAAAATCGACAATGATTCATCAGATTGGGAATAGATTCATCTCATAGAAGTAATGAATCGAAAATGCGGAATTTAAAAACTAAATAAATTGAGAATAAGCACCTTTGTAGTTAGTCTATTAACCAGGGTTTAATGAAACGAAGATGAATGCTTATTTCCCATTATGAACTAATACGCAATTCAGAGAAAATTTCTTTAATTTGAAAAATCTTCATTTTAAAGAATAGGAAATAGCAAAAAAGCTGTTCTCGAGCATTAAGAAATAAGGAAACAGTTATGTATCACAAAAGGAAAGATAAGAGGGACTGAATCTATGTCATTTAAGATTACCAGTTACGTATACAGAAATTAACGGTTAAAAGCACGAAAAATTAAACTTAGAACGAATTTTTTATAACACTATGAGTTGAATTTTATCTCGAACATATTATTCCAATACGCCTATACTAACCGAAGAAAGTTCATATATGAGTTTTTGATAAAATAAAATAGGAAATCTTATTGAAATAAAAATACTCCTTTTCACTGAGAAAAATTTATGATTGTTTTTAGCAATCAACAGATCATAAAACCTGCTATTTAATATCTCGATAAACGACAGTTCTGCAGTCTAAGGATTTCTCAAAGCACTTGCTCATTTCTTTCAAACTGAGCATTACTAGCCAATCACGTACACATACTGAAACAAACTGCATTTAGGAAAAAAATGCTAAATAAAACCTAATTTTAAACGATGATTAATGTGAGCTTGACCACAAGACTTACATTCACAGGAGTAACACTGCTTAGAACTGAAACTAGCTATCGTCTTTCAGAGGTTTAAGTCATATTTGTCGCCTGTGCAAAATCGTCACTGTCATACAATCGACTCTGCATAAGATCGACACGTGAACGAGCAGAGAGACTGCCAATTTTGTGTATCGTGGCATGTTCCGCATTCCAAGTCAAAATTCCTCCGCTGCATCTTTATGACAGATTAACTGTCTCCTGGGCAAAACTCTTGCTACTTGCAAATATAAACTCCTGTTAGTTTTAATATAATAAAAACTTAAGAATGACGAAGGCATTAATTTTCAATTTACGGACTTTATAAACCAGCTGCTAGTCATAAATATGTTTGTAAAAGTAGAGTTTCCTGTATCCACGTTTCTTACTTCAGTTTGGAAAAGATGGAAATTTTGTACCTAATCCCCTTAAGATAATACGCAATTCAGAGAAAATTTCTTTAATTTGAAAAATCTTCATTTTAAAGAATAGGAAATAGCAAAAAAGCTGTTCTCGAGCATTAAGAAATAAGGAAACAGTTATGTATCACAAAAGGAAAGATAAGAGGGACTGAATCTATGTCATTTAAGATTACCAGTTACGTATACAGAAATTAACGGTTAAAAGCACGAAAAATTAAACTCATCTCAAGAGACGACTTGAGTGACCGATTATGTGAAGTTACGGGATTCCCATTCAGGATAGCACCCCCAGTTACCCATTAGGATGTCTGAAGAGTCACCTAATAAACGTTATGGACTTCATTTGCTCCCTATTTCTGTTGCCGTAGGAGCTATTTTTCAAATAAACGCCATTTTAAAAGCAGTAAAAATACCCGTAGGGATAAGTAGCTAATTACAAACGTCAAAATGTTTAGCAGAAAGGATTGTTTGATTCAATATAAGATTTAAAAAACAGATTTTTTTTTATTATAACATCTCAGAAACAGTACGTTGATAAAACTGTAAACCTACTGCATGAAGAAATAATAATAAAGACAAAACAAGTAAAAAATTTTAGACAAAATACAGTCTGTTTGCTATAAATTTTAAAAAATATATAGTAGCAGGTGTAAATAAATCAAATAATTTATTTGTTGATATTCGTATGATGTTTATGTGTTTTTGTACGTCAGAGATAACAGTTATATTACCTTCAATTGAAAATTTAGTAGGCCATAATTTTAAACGCAAATTTCGGTGAAAGCTTATTGCAGCTGCTTATACAAAATAAAATGAGCATTACTTTGGTTCTATTTCTCGGGAATTAATTTAATCTTATTTTTAATGCCAACAAGGCTTATTTATAATATTACTGATATGATAGAATTTTCAAAAATAACATAGGTAAATCTTGTTTTGCAAACTAGCATATGTCCTTGTATTCAAAAACATTATGGCATAATAAATGCCCTTCTATAGGATTTTGATTATGTCTATGCAACTAAGAGTAATAATAATGTAATAATTGTGAGGAGCATATAATTAAGAGTAATGAAGCAGATTACAAATTTTCAAAACAGTTTATATTTTTCATTTAAATTTAAATTTAACTCATAATTAATTTAAAATTAATGTTGTTAACTTTTATTAAATAATAAGACATTAATTAAGATGCTTTTTTAAAACATGAATAATTTATTAGTGAATTTTAATATTTCAACAATAATTTCCTTTTCCAAAACATATTTTTGCTTAATAATTTCGAAGTCGATTTTTCCTAATCCTTAATTTAATTTATTTACTTCTAAAGTATCCTACATGTTTCCTTTCTTTAGAATTTCAATCACATTCCCTTTTATTTTTTCTATCAAAAATTGGTTTTTAATAATATTTTTTTAATCTATTATTTACCAAAACATAGCTGAATGATATTGACTCTACCTACTACTATACCTTCAATAACTAGCTTCTTATTTATCAATGTCGCTATTTGCATACCTATGATTTATCTATAATTCTCTAATTATGCCTATCCATTTATCATCGACCCAAATATGCTTATAAAAAATGCTGGGTTTCGCATAAATTAAAGACATAGTCTAGGACCAAAATATCAATATCAAATGCTTAAATTTAAAGAACTGACAGCATCTTCAGGTTTTAATGCAATTACTAACAGCAAGCGTCACGAATGAAAAACGAATTCCTTCAGATATCTGATAACTGATCTGAAAATGATGAATCTAAAAATATAAATCTCGGCATAACTAGGAAAAAAGTGATGGAACAGATTCCACACTGGAGCACAAAGGGCATCTTTGAAGAGCAGTGCTTGTTCCTAACGAGGCAGCGAAAAACTCATCAGTTATGCTTTTTTGTCTTCTTTGGAGATGTATCACATCTTTCTAACTTCCATTGATCTTCCTAAAGCTCCTCTACATCCCTACGAGCCCCTACCCCACCCCGACAGACGGCCACTGACTCCTAAATAATAAATGAGAAGGGGAATGAGAGGGGGGTTGGCACGAAGAAAATAAGAAATAAAAAAAAATGTATATATCTAAGCTTTGCTGAGAGTCGCACACCAGTTGGAACGTTGACAGGCGATGTGCCATTTACCCTTGATGCAAGGCTTATCGGCCGTGGCACCATCTGGGCCCAGGCCCTTGCCGAATGATCTTTTCAGATTAGAAATCCTTCCTTTCGCTGATTTCTGAAAGGATGCAGAAGAGGAAAAAATAAAAGAAGCAACAGAAAAAGAAAATGAAAGGGAGAGGGAGGTGGAAGAGGCATAGGGCGAAATTGTGAAAAAATAGATCTTGCAAAAGAGGGATTCTGATGTTGACAAGTATTGAACGACCGTTGGAAGATGGGTTTTGCCCTTTCATAAGTTTGCGCGTCTGTCTTAGAACACCATCTGGCACAGACTGAAGCTATCCGTGCGATAGATTTTAAGGATAAAATGTTTACATATGAAGAGTTAACGCCAAAGAATCATTTTTTAGTTTGTCAGAAGATTCATAACCCTATTTTTTAACGCAGCCTCATAATAGCTTAAGTTATTCAGAGGGGACACATGAAAATCTCTTTTACTTGACTTTTACTCAACACTTGCCCTTCAATAACTACACAAAAGTTCCATATCATATGTATTGTGTTAAGCGAGTTATCCATCATATATCCTCTAACATTAATGTTGAACTAAAAAAGGACATTCTTTGAGGTTTGAGGTTTGACATGCGTGGACTTGAACATTAATAATTCTCAAGACTCTAGATTTTATGTTGTTGAGTGATAATGGAAACATGTTCTTAGGAGCTCTAAAAAATTAGTTTTTAGTAGTCAAACATGACGTAGAGGATAAGAGGGAGATCTTTCAATACCGTTGATATAATTCCTATTATGAGTGTTACATTGAAACTTTACAAAGACGACCATCTAGTGCTTCAGATGATTTTGTTTTTTCTTTCTCAGAAAACGTGGCTAAGGTTGATGCTCAGTACCATTATTTAATTACGTTCTTATAAAAAACTATACACTTTCAGAGATGATCGTGTTTGATCAATGTATTTAAATGCTTCAACGTTTTTTTAATATTTTTAAAACTATACTTCAATGTAATCTGCTTATTTGTATTTAATTACTAAGCTTTCATTTGCAGTTAACGATTTTGAAGAAGTTAGTCCATTGCTTATTGAAAATAAGTAGACGTGAACACTTCAGTTCCTCCTTTTTTAGTTCAACATTAAT